GCCAGACATCTTCGGTAAATGTGTCGCAGGTGCAGCTGCTCAAGATGACTGAAACAGAGTCGCAGTCGTCAATGGACTACTCGGAGGACGAGGACGAGGACGAGAGTGCGCTGCAAGACTACTACCAGTTCGGATGTGACGACCTGGAGGAGGACACGTCGCGACAAAACCCCGAGTTCTTCCCGGTCGAGTGTCTCAGTGTCGAGGAGGTGGAGCGGCTCTTCAACGAGTGGGTGGAGCAGCTGAGCACCAGCCTGCAGGTGAGCCTTCCTATGCGCTGTAGTTAGCGCTGTAGCAGGTGAGCCCTCCCGGCAGTGGTTTCCGGCAGGCACAGGTCCGGGTCCGGCCAGACACAGGTCCGGGTCCGGCCACACGCAGGTTCGGGTCCGGCCAGGCACAGCTCCGGGTCCGCCCATACAAGTCCGAATTCTGTCAGACGTAGGTCTGGGCCTAACCAGATGTGACTCCTAGCCTCCATCAGTTCTTAAAAATGCGCACAAGTATGGTGTCATTTTTGACAAGTTAGAAATCGCACACTCTGTGTGAGTCTAAAATTCCCCTGCTTCGTCACGAATATGTTTACCACGGAACGGATCGTGCGCCCAATGCTCGGGAGTTTGTGTATTTCAAGGCTTTATTTGGAATCGGGGTTGAAAACAACACTAAGGACATTTCAGCGAAAGTTGCAGGTAGACGTATTGTCTTAGGTACCAGGATGCTGAATTATGGGTCATTAGCTGTGTGAGCCCACCAATTCGGTGTCCAGACTGTCCAAGGAGATTGTTTTTGTATGCAAGTGATCTGTTTTGTATGTTCATGTCATGAGAACTTATGAGCTCTGCATCCAGTCTTGCAGCACACCTTTTATATATCACCATCACATATGTGTGCCATGCCATGTATATGCAGCTCCATGTTTTGTGTTTGTCATGATAGGCCACATTGTTTTGAGATACTCACATGCTATGGTATCACTAACAGCTTATCGCTCCCCCATGCTAGTCAGCGCATGCTCCTGACAGAGCTACCTCTCCTCGCCGCTGCCAGGTGACGCCCTCGCTAGCCAAGCAGTTACTGCACTCCAACAGTTGGAACGCGGCCGAGATCGTGGCGCGGTACCGCGCTAACTCCAGCCAGCTGCTGGCCGAGGCGCAGATCAAGCCGCGGCCAGCGCCACCGCCGCCGGCCGCACCGGCCGCCTGTGTGCCGGGGCCCAGCCACGCCTCCCATCCGCTATCCGCTACCGCCGCCGCCGCTGCCGCTGCCTCCGTCGCAGCCGGTGCCGTGCTGCCGCCGGCCGAGTGTCCCGTCTGTGCGAGCGTGCAGCCGTCGAGCGAGTTCCGAGCGCTCGCCTGCCGCCACCACTTCTGCCAGGGCTGCTGGCAGATGCACTTCGAGACTCAGATCATGCAGGGTATCTCGCTCGGTGAGCACTGTCGGAAGGGGCGGCTGCGTGGTGGCAACGCGGGTCTCCTGAGAACGCTCGCGGTGCTTTTTGTCACCGTAGGCACCCGCATCATGTCGGGTCTTCCCAATGTGGATCCTATTTGTGTGATCTGTTGTCAACCGCTCTCTGTTTGCGATGTGTTCCTCGTCATCAAACTCGCGCCTCAAGAGACTTCATCTTAAAACGGTCTCTGTAGATGTCAAGTGTGCGTAATCGCATGTGTTAGCGTTGGCACAAGATTCCCGATCTTGCTCAGGGCAATGATTGCGTTCTTGGCTACAAGAGACACTGTACATTCGCACACGTTCTTCTCGTGACGCCCGTGGACTTTGTGACGCCTTGCTCGCCATCATCATGACGACTCGTGTATCAATACGTGTGCCAGGTATCGAGTGTATGGCGCGGCATTGCAACATCCTGGTACCGGAGGACTTTGTGGTGTCGCTGCTGACGCGGCCGGCGCTGCGCGGCCGCTACCAGCAGTACGCCTTCGCCGACTACATTCGCTCTCAACCGCAGCTCAGGTCAGCCGACGGTCGCCGATCTGGCCGCTGGTTTGGCTGCCGCTCTGGCCGCCGCTGTGGCCCCTACTCCGGCCGCCACGGGCCGTCTCCCAGACGGCCGATCTGGCTCGCTGCTCTGGCCGCCGCTCTGGCCGCCGCTGTGGCCCCTACTCTGGCCGCCACGGGCCGTCTCCCAGGCGGCCGATCTGGCTCGCTGCCCAGTGCCAACTCTGTCAGGCAGGGTGCGGGTGTGTGCGGCTGCTGAGCCTTGGTGTCCGTGCGGGGCCGCGCTGGTGGTACGGTTAGCAGGCGGGTGATGGTAGCCGATGTGGGGTTGTCTCATGAACACCCATGAACAGGTGACCAATGCAGTCTGTGATCGGTCCCACTACAACAGACGGCGTTCTCCTGGTGTTTTAGGCGATTGTATGTTTGTTTCTTCTCCACAGATTTTGTCCCGGCCCGAACTGTCCTATAATAATTCGTGCGTGGGAACCCAAGGCCAAAAGGGTAGTGTGCAGCAAGTGTAAAACCTCTTTCTGGTAAGTGCAGGGCGCATATGGAGGTTTTTCACCTGGGAGCTTACCTGTGTATGTGTCATTTTCGTGCTTAGTCTGGTGGGGCCGCGTCATTTCAACACTCGCTACGCTCGCCCTGTGTTTTGTTGTTTATGAGTTCAGAGTTCTTTGCTGAGTTATCGATGTTCCATGTGCCGGGAGGTACTAGTTAACGACGCTACAGAGCAAAAAAACTGGTAAATTGATTGGAATCGACATTTCAGCTGTGCTTATGATAACGAGTGCATCAGACAGCAGCTTCCGTTCACACGCAGCTTAGAGCGACGAGTGCGGTCAGGGTAGTCATTGTTTGCCGTATGTAGTTTAACTAGTACCTCCTGGTATATCGAAGGTCGGTAACTCAGCATACGAGCTCTGAACTCAAACTTAAAAAGAGCTGACGGCCTTTCCCGCTTACATCAAGTTGTTGTACTGTCCTGTTTCCGCCACTGTCGCCGGCCACTAAATTCAGAAACAACATGACTATGTACTATTAGCGTGTCACATGTTTGTCACGTGTGTGCCTATAAGACCGTGTGGTCAGAACTGGCAGCCCGGCTGTGCAGCCCACTTGTGCTGATGCGGGGCGACGTTGGCCAGTTTCCGGTGCGGCATCGACTACCATGCGCCAGCCGACTGCGACACGGTCAAGAAGTGGCTGACCAAGTGCGCGGACGACAGCGAGACGGCCAACTATATATCGGCCAATACCAAAGATGTGAGAGCGGCGACGCCCCGCGCGGCGGTCGGCCGTCCGGCCGCGTTCCGCGTCACGAACGCTGATCCGCGTCACGGCAACAGCCGCGTGACAGTGTGCGCGGCGTGCCGACGCTGCCCCTCGCTGCCCCGTGCACCTGGGCGCTGGGTGTGGATAGTTCGGTCACTGCCTGCCGCCGCCGCCGCTTCGCCTGGTGACGTGGTGTGTTGTTTGTTCCAGTGCCCAAAGTGCCATATCTGTATAGAGAAGAACGGGGGATGCAATCATATGCAGTGTTTCAGCTGCAAGTTTGAATTCTGTTGGATGTGTCTAGGTGAGTATGGGCTTTTTGTGGTTCTCCTGAGCTATGTTGCGTCTGTTCCCTATACTGGAATGGCTGGCTGTGGATAAGGATAACAGAGTATTGGTGCCGTCGGAAAGATCATCTTTTCTACTGTCTTGCATGAGGTCATGATAGAGTATGATCAAACTAGTATTTTTACATTTATTTATTCATGCTAACGCCTTCAGCACGCATAACCAAAATATTGCTAATTTAAGGCGAGATATGCGGACTGTCATCAGAACGTTTCCTTCAACGTTAAATCGCTGGTGTTTCCTCACGCTTGACTGATCTACCGATCTCCAATCTGATCTAAAAGATGTGCGGCGCTGCTCGTGACATCGTCGCCGACCCCGCCAGGCAATTGGAAAAACCACGGGTCCGAGTACTACGAGTGCTCACGGTACAAGGAGAACCCCAACATCGCCAGCGACTCGGTCCACGCCAAGGCACGCGAGGCGCTCAAGAAGTACCTGCACTACTACGAGCGGGTACGGGGCGGGGCTTGCCGCCGGCCCCGGTGGCCGGCCGACGTCGCCAAACGCGGCGCTGATCAGTCAGCCGCTGGCGGTGCGCTCGTGCTGAAGCCGGTCGGTGTAGCGGAAGCGTGCACCGTCCAAGTCAGCTGGGCGCGGTGGTTGTGGGGCATTGCTGCCGTGTGATTACTGATAATGATGCGGGTTTTAGGGCGCGCCGGCTGCTTGGGTCATAGGGCGCCGTTATTGTTAGGTAGTCATGCTGTTCTACGGACACCTGAAAGTTCCCGGCGGTTTTAACACCGGACAGGTGCTCAGGTGTTCGCTGACATGATGCCCTGCGGTCGGCAGTGGGAGAATCACTCCAAGTCGCTGGCACTGGAGGCCCACACGCGGCAGAAGATCGTGGACCGGATCAACCAGAAGGTCAACGACGCCAGCGGCACCTGGATAGACTGGCAGTACCTGCTGGGTGGGTGTTAGGCGCGCGGCCCGGCCCAGGGCTCTGGCAGACTCTCGATCGGACCTCGGGCTTGCAGCATTCCGGGGGAGTATGTGATGGTGTAACGTGAACTTCAGCCTTTGGCGCGAGTGCGAACCGGGCGGGAAAACTGAACTGGCCCGTGCCATGGACGCCGGTTATCAGACAAAGTACGCGTCATGCTCCGGCGAGTCGACTAAAATAATGGTAGAATGTGAACCGCGCTTTAACGTCATTGGACGGCGGAGCTCCCACTGAACCGCATGCGCCGTCAAGCAATGCCAGCCATGCTGGCCGGTGGGCGGGGCGGGCCGTCTGTACGGGGCGACTGCTGCTGTCAGTCCGCCCGTGCCTGCCGCCGGCCTGGTGACCCATCTCAGCCCCGGTTGCGCATCTATCGGGCGTGCACTGACCGGCGTTCGGCTTCCAGACGCGGCCGCGCTGCTGGCCAAGTGCCGGTACACGCTGCAGTACACGTACCCGTACGCCTACTACCTGGAGTCTGGCTCCCGCAAGGCGCTGGTGAGTGAAGCCGCGTGTCTGTGACATGTGAGGCTCCACGGGCGTGTCTTTCGATGGAGGAAACGACTGGAGTATGCTGACATTTTGAGTAAAGATGTTTGAGCGTTGTGCGGCGTGACTTAGAGCCGACTTTACGTCTCGATGTTGGTCTTGAGCAATGATGTGGTGAATGACTCGCGCCAGACTAAGTGCGATAATGTCTAGAATGCACCAAGAGGCCACGACAGAAGCGGAGACCCACCTCCGAGAGAAGTCAGATGGCATCGGGCTCGGTGCCGGGAGATCGCTCGAGCGAGCACGGCATGGCTGCCTGTCGCGCTGACGGGCTCGCCCCGTGTTACAGTTTGAGTACCAGCAGGCGCAGCTGGAGGCCGACATTGAGGAGCTGTCCTGGAAGGTGGAGCGCGCCGAGACCACCGACCGCGGCGAGCTCGAGAACCACATGAGCCGCGTCGAGAAGAGCCGCACCATGCTGCTGCGCGAGTTCATAGAGCCGTAGTGGCCGGCGGTGCGGCGCGGCAGCCGCGTGCTGCGGGCGGCGTCGGCTCTAGTTCCGGGGCGGCCCGAGGCGTCCGAGTCTCCTCTGCCGCGTCCCGGGGCGGTGCCGGCGCCGGCGCTGGAGCCGGAGCCGGAGCCGGAGCCGGAGCCGGAGCCGGAGCCGGAGCCGGAGTCGGAGCCGGAGCCGGAGCCGGACGGCGCAGAGTGCGCACGATACGCCGCCCGTGGACGCGGGAGAGCGGGGAGCCGACCGACTGTGGGTGCCCAACGCCTGACGCTCCCTCACTGAGATTATGCCGGTGACTAACACCCATAGGTTATGCGCTCACTCGAAACGCTGGGACCCGATGCGTTTTAACTCCCTCGAAATGACTTGGTACAATTCCGTCTTCAATTTACCTGCAGACCGCCTGAGGATTTTGCGAAGTGGCTGTTGGCCGCAGCTGCTGCTGTACATATGTCTACAGATGGGCTCATGCTGCGCTGGACAGGCGCGCCGGCGGCCCGGGACGTTCTGTCCACTGCTCTTTCCGTTTCTTAGTGTGTGTGTTGAGTCATGGTGTCATACCTGGCCAGTGGCGCCTCGGCTCGTCACTCGAGGCGCGCGACCGGTACCGCATCGTGCGCTCTCGGTCAGGCGACGGGCGGCGGCCGCCGGGACGTCACCCACGCGCCCTTCAACCGTCGAGTGGCGGAGACTCGGCGCCCGTCACCAGTCGGCGGTTCGCTGTGCGGCGGCGCGTCTGAGCCGATGACCCTGCGGCCCTCGGCCGGCCGGCGCGGCGGCGTAACCTGTCTGTCTGGCCCATGTCCTGCCCGTGCGCGCGTGGTGCGCCAGCACACTTCGGCCGTCTTTCATCGTGTCTGCTGTAGGTGTGGTGTGGTGTGGTCACCGTGAGAGGCGCCGACGCGGCGTGTAGAATCTGCTCGATGTGGTGTGTGCACGATGTGTCGTAGGTGGCCAGCGTCGGGTCGCGGCATTTACAGAACATGCTTCGATTTGGAACGTTGGTGAGTTTGATTTGAAGCGGGCATGGAGTCAGAACCGGTGTCATTTCACAACCGTTGTCGTCGGAAACTGTTGGCGGTGCTCTGTCGCAGACGTCGCAGGACTACGACACGCAACAGAGATTAAGGCCGCTGGAGTACAGCGCTCTGCCCTGCCCCCTCCAGGCCAGGGTATGCAGTCAAACGCGGGACATGGCAGTGCCGACCACAGCAGCTGTCTGGTCACCTCAGTTCGCTATCACCCGGCTGTAAAGTTTCGTGGCTGCATGCTCCCTCAGAGATCTCTTTGGCGCCCAAGCACGGATCACGGCAAATGCTGGACTGTCCGCCGCGTGAGCGACTCGGCGAACCACCACGCATTTCGGGTAGGCGGCACGGCCAGGAAGCCGCAATGGCCGCATCGAGTATTATGTACAAACGCAAAATGACGATAAAAACACTTTCGGAGACCAAAAAAGTGCGGAAACTGGGGGGGGGGGACGGTGAAGTGCACTGGGTGTTGTGATTTAAATTGGGTGATTAAGTCGCGTCAGCCAAATCATTCAGGTGACCGGTCGACCAGGCTGGCTGCTGCACAGAGCAAACACCCGCAGGTTTCCAGTCTGTCCGGAGGAGTTGCACGCCGAGCGAGCTCGTATGGTTTGCCACACCATGTGCGAGAACAAATCACAACTCTTTCTGAGTCAAGCAGGGAATCGGCATGGAAACGAAACCGTAGCCAGCTTCAACATGTGTATTCACGTATGATGCAAATGACGAGACGATAATGCCAACGCACGACTGGACACGGCGTGTCGTACAAACAATGCCGCTAAACCTAGAGTGCAACAATACAATAACGCAACGCTTGCTGGGGGCGGTGCGGACAGACGCGAGACCCCAGCTGGCGTGGTGCTCAGACATCCCACGTCCGTCAGTCGCCCCCACAACGGCCCCAGCTGCGCCCTGTCCCTCGCGAGCCCCCGTCGCCCCTAACTGGGGCGAGTCCCGCCCGGTGGACCCTGGGCAGCCCTAGTTCATCCACTTGCGACAGTTGGGCGCCCCGCAGAGGCACGGGATCTTGTTGCTGTCGTCCTCTATGTCGAACTTGTAGTCGTACGCCAGCTGAAAAGGCGGACAGCGCGTCAGCGGCGCCGGCCTGGCACAGCTGCTGACCACGACAGGCGGACAGCGCGTCAGCGGCGCCGGCCTGGCACAGCTGCTGACCACGACAGGCGGACAGCGCGCCAGCGGCGCCGGCCTGGCACAGCTGCTGACTACGACAGGCGGACAACGCGTCAGCGGCGCCGGCCTGACACAGCTGCTGACCGCGACAGGCGGACAGCGTGTCAGCGCCGCCGGCCTGGCACAGCTGCTGACCACGACAGGCGTGACCGCTCAGCAGCATAACAGCTCAGCCAATCTGAACCACAGCGCATCTGGTGCTGCAACGCGAGGATAGCCCGCTGATCACCTGTGGCGTTTAAGTGTGGTGCAAGTGGCCGTTTGTTTGAGTGTCAATGACCGCGCGTGTGCGCCGGGTGCGCGAGGCGGTAGGGGATCGTCATCACTTGAGGCGGTGCAGCCTGATCCGGGCATCTGCATCCAGTGGCTTGCACACCAGCACCGAATCGATGCCGGTCAGCGAATACGGGATCAGGATCAAAGGCCTTCACCATTACGCTCGGCCAGATTCAGCGCACATGGATACTGTCCACGGTCTGCAGAAGAAGCCGCGTTCACTGCATGAAAGTTGACTGATGGGCCACAACCGCAGTCACGAGAAGACCATGACCCAGTTATATGAGTAGGCCGTGACCCAGTCATATGAGTAAACCATGACCCAGCCATATGAGTAGACCATGACCCAGCCATATGAGTAGACCATGACCCAGTCACGTGGGTGGACCGTGACCCAGTCATGTGGGTGATGCCGCCCTCCGGCCGCCACCGACTCACCTCCTCGCCGCGCTGGATGCGTCGGTTGGCGAAGATGATGATCTTGTGGTGGCCGCGGTCCACCTCCACGCTCTCTGTGATGCAGTTGGGGTTGCACGAGTGGTTGATGTAGCGCGCCAGCCCGCCCGACAGCGTGGCGTCCACCACGTGGTTCTCGTCCACGCGGAACATGTAGATGCCTCGGTTCTGGGGGCAACGGACCGGCCAGCATCAGCGTCAGCGGAGGGCGCTCCGTCACCGCTGGCTTCCGCAGTCGCAGCTGAAGCAGCGCCGACTGGGATCAGCATCGCTCGTCCTGCGGCCACCGTGCCCGGCGCCGTGGCTGCCCGGCCCCGTGCAGCCGGCGTACTCACCGCCGCCTCGTAGCGTTTCTCGCGGCACTCGGCGATCTCGTTCCGAATCACCTCGCCGATGTACTCGATGATCATGGTGAACTTCTCGATGGGGCGCGCCGCGTACAGACCCAGGCCCTGGATCTTTGACCTGTCGACGCGGCCGATACGTCAGCGCGGTGTATCGGAACTCCCACCCAGAAGCAGCGCGAGAGGTCTGATCGCCACTCAACCATCACCCATAGGATGGTCGTCCGCCAGCGGCATCACGTCTTCGGTAGAGTATAACGCCCCCGACGGAGTGGGACACGGCTGCAGACCTTCGCATCATAGTTTCAGCTATGACGACAATAGTGACATCCGGTATCAGTACGATACGCCCCCCCCCCCCCCCCTTCAGCGCCCGGCCGACAGCTCACCGCGCCAGGTAGACGTTGTTGCGCCACTCCTGCTTCATCTTCTTGTACTGGGAGCTGCGCGAGTGCACGTACTGTTTGGAGTACGGCGCGCTGCTGTCGCTGGTGTAGCTGCTATGCGCGAGCGCGCGCGAGTGGCCGCCGCTGGGCCGCTGCGTGTGCGGCCGCTTGAAGTGCGTGCGCAGCTTGGCCTCGGAGCGCGCGCAGCCGGTGGGGTTGATGGCCAGCGGCAGCTCGAGCAGCGGGTTCCGGCCGTACTTGAAGCGGTAGTCGGTGAGCGTGTCGATTCCCGGCAGCGACTCCAGGATCTTGATGATGCCCGGCTCGGTGAGGCCGAACAGGTCCTCGCCGGTCACGTACTGCGGGAACAGGCGCACCATGCCGGCCTCCTCGCGCGTCCGACTGAGCGGCTTCAGCACCTGCCGACGCGCGCGTCACACGGGCGTCAGACGGGTGTCACACGAATGTCACACGCGTGTCAGACGGGCGTCAGGCAGGCATCACACGGTCGTCCGGCGGCGTCAGAGCGGCACGCGAGCTGAAGGTGCCAGGCAACAGACCAGGCGCTCACACTTGCACGGCGGACCGCTGACCGTCAATTGAAGAGCCTCGGCCTGCAGAAGTCGTCTTCCAGTTTTCCAAACCATGAAAGCGCAGCGGAGGTTATTGGCCTGTTCCCAGGCACGGAGACCATAAGGGAAGCCCTCGTTCGCATGCCTGGGACCGAGCCCCGGTCCTATGCACCCTCGCCTGCCCCCGAGGCCAGCGCCACTGAACACTCGCCTGTTTCCAGACGCCCAGGCAGGTGGCGTCTGTGAATGTGATCTCCTTGAGCGGCGGCTCCCGCACCACGATCTGGAACTCGGGCAGGCCGTCGCGCTCCTGGATGGAGCAGATGTACTGGCACCGCTTGTTGACTCGTCGGAAGCTCCAATACAGCCGGATCTGGCGGGCGGACGGACGGAGACGCGCGTCACATGAGGCGAGCAGGCGAGGCCTCCCACGCCCAGAGCTGATACCAGCGCGCAACAAACAATTCGGCCGCTTTCGGCGATCAGATTTTGCGAATAAATGTAGCAAAAAAGTGGCATGAATGTAGTCATGAGGAGAAATCACGAGTCTAGATAGATGTTAGATGATAGTCCAAGATGTTAAATGGACGCTACAGTTTTTTGATGAGCCATGGTCATGCACAGAATCCCCTTGCACAGTCAATGGTGTGGCGCTTGCAAGGACGCGCTTGAGTTGCCTCCGGCGCCATGACGCCGCGCCAGACACACGGCCACTACCGATATACACGCATCAGAGGTGGCCAGTGCTGAGCAGCCGGCACTCACGATCTTGTATCCGATGGGGTAGATGTAGTTGCCGGTGTGGAAGGCGCTAAGCTGGTGGGGTAGCAGCTGGCCGACCGACAGGAAGACCAGCGTACCCACGCGCAACAGGTGAGACTGGTCCGAGCCGGCTTGGTGCATCACCACCGCCACCTAGCGGCCAAGGCCCGAGGCTCGTCAGACGCGTGGAAGACGAGCCCAGACCACCCGCTATCCCACCACAGTTGAAGTCCGGTTGAACGCACAGCGAGATCGTAACAAGAGCTCCTCTGCAGTCAGAGTGGGAGAGGCCAGTACACTCGGTGGCGCATCTCTCGGCCGAATCACAGCGTGCGCAGCGACCAGGCGGTCAGCCGGACGGCCCGCCGCCCGTCGCCGGTCTCCAGAGGCGGCGCACCTGCTTGTTCTCCTCGCGCTCGATGTAGACGCGCCGGTAGAAACGGCCAGCGTGGTCAGCTCGTTGTCCTTCTCGCCCTTGGGGATGTGCTCGCGGCAGAAGACGGTCTGCGGCAGCGGGGCGACCGTCTAAGCCGGCGCACGCGGCTCGCTCCACACAGCGGCACGGCCGGAGAGCGGTACTGGAGTGGCAGCTCGGCGGACCGGCGGCGGCGACAGCGCAGACACGCGCCGTGTCGGCTCAAAACCACGCACCGACACGGCGGGAGCATCGCCTTCCCCGCGACACTTGACTGCAGCCAAAGACACGCAGAAAGGGACCGGCTCAACTAGGACGAGCACGCAGGTACGCATCAGCTAACAACACGTCCCGCTGGTGCGGAAGGCCGCTCATGACAGCACCCCACTCGGCTGTAGGCGGTTCATGTCCACCGTTAGCGGGTGCACTAGTCCAGTCATTGCCGCGGTTCACCTTCAACCTGACCTCACCCTCGCACCAGCTACGGCTGCACATGACCGTCGCCTGCCGCGCGGCTCACCTTGTTCTTGTAGAACGTGCACTTGTCCTTGACAGAGCAGGTGAGGTGGTAGGTCTTGTCGCAGCGCACTTTGAAGCACTTGATGGAGGCGCCCGTCTCCTTGCAGAGCGTGCAGGCGGCGTTGAGCGACTTCTTCAGCGCCACGTCGACATTGACGAGCGAGCCACTCTCCGTCTCGTACACGTCGTCGGCCCAAAGGGCGCAGTTGAGGTGCACCCACTTGTCGACGTCGAAGTTGAGCAGGCGCGCCGGTCCGTCCGACATGGCGTCGCCGATCAGCTGGCAGAAGAGGCAGCGGCGCACCTCCTCCGGCATCCGGCTCGGCATGATGCAGATGCCCATCTGGAACAGCAGCTGCGGCGCGCGCGACAACCGCCGCGTCAGGGGAGTTGCGCTGGCACCCGCCCGCAGTCAGCCCCTTCCGCGGGGCCCGGCATCTCCGCGGCATTGATTGGGTGCCCGACGTGAGCGACTGGGCACTCTTTGTTCAAAGTGAAGAGTGATAGCTGCATCCTAGACAATGAGTTATTGCGAAGCGTGTGCGGTTAACGGTCATAACGCGTCACATGCGGAAACGGCCATAACAAATAAACATCGGCGCCGCAGCCCCTCTCCCCGAAGCCTCCTACACGTCAATACTGACGATCCCCGTCCCCCGTCCCCAAACGTGGGCCCACCGAACCCCGCCGTCCGTCTGTCAGTCAGCCGGCCGGCCGCCGCGCCAGTCCCTGTGCACCAGCACCCACCTGCGTGAGCTCGTTGTCGGACGGCTTACGGTACTTCTTAGGCAGCCGGATGGCCTCTGACCAGGTGCGGTAGCGGATGTTCTTCCAGCGTTTGCCGGGCTCCTCTTTCCTGTCGCTGCCGGCGCCGCCCGACAGGTGGCGGCTCGAGTCGCCGGACTCGTGCCGCGACAGCTGCCGCTCGCGCACGCTCAGCAGCTCCTTGGTGAAGGGCTGCCGGGTAGGCAGACTGTCACACTCCGCTCTCAAACGACTCCAGGCTGGCCCATCGGGGTCACACCACTCGTGGCTTTCGGCGCGCCGTAATGCGCACCTGGTGACTGCATGACAAAACTACGAGACTTCTGGAGACGCAGAGTCTCGCCCAACACGCAGACAAAAGATCCCACAGCTGCCGTGTTTCCCAGCCTCGCCCTCAGCCAGCAGATGGCCGCCGCGCGCCCGTCGCCGCCGGCGCGCGGCCACTCACGTCGGCGCCGTTGGTGAACATGTCTCCCGCCGGTATGGTCGACCACGGCGGCGGCGCGCCGCTCGGCGGCCGCCGCCGGCGTCAGCTGGCTGCTGGTGAACTGGCCGTAGCACGACTGGCTGCAGAAGTGCACCTCGTCCGCCAGCTGGTCGGCGTCGCGCACGAACGGCAGCTCCGTCTTGGCCTTGGTGATGATGTCGCTGAGGATGACCACCTCGCAGTACTGGCAGAAGCGCGCCTTGCCGTTCAGGATCGTCTGGATGTCGACGACTGCAGTGGCAGACGGTGTGGCTCGCGTCAGTTACAGGCTCGCCTCAGCTACAGGCTCACGGACGCCACCACCTCTGAACAGGATTGCCAGCCGCTCAGGCGAGCGGAAGGAGAGTCTCCTATTCTCAAAACCACCCCGTCATCAACAGCAGCACTGGCTTCGGCAAACAAAGCAGTTGCATTTACATGTCTAAATAATGATTTACGGGCGTGTTGGTATGGATGACGTTGGGAGTCGAGTGGCTGCCCGGTGCGGCCTGTCATGGGGACTCCGGCCTGACTGTACCACCTCAGCAGCCTGTGGTGGGGACTGGCCTGACCGCACCACCTCAGCAGAGTCCCGGCCGCCGCTCATCGTGCCTACCCCGCTTCGACACACGCACGCACGCACGCACGCACGCACGCACGCACGCACGCACGCACGCACGCATGTATGCATGCATGCACGCACGCACGCACGCACGCACGTCCACCCACACCCACACCCACACCCACATACCAGGGCCACAGCGGGGCTGGTGCGTCCCTGCCCTGCGCCGTCCAGCAGCTCCGCCCCGGGCCGCCGCTGACGGCAGCGGACGCGGAGCGGGCCGGGGTGGCGGACGCCTCGGGCCGGCCCCGGCACCTCGCACTCACTCTGGTCGCGGCCGTCCTTGCCGCGCGCCTGCCGGTACAGGCCGAGTCGCTGGCTGGGCGGCGTGCCGGTGCGCTCGATGACCTGGTAGCCGGACGGCGGCGAGATGTTCAGCAGCGAGGCCAGGCTGCGCAGCACGGCGCCCACGTCCTGCGCCTTCTCAGAGGTCAGCGTCAGCGTCACCGTCACCTGGCCGGAGTCGCGCGGCGGCAGCGGCGACTCGATGCCCAGGTGAGACTTGAGCGACAGCTCCTTGTTCTCCTTGTCCTGCGGGACGGGGTGGGGTGGCGTCACCGGTCACATGGTCACATGGGTAACCGGACTTCTGTGGGGGAAGGGGGCGGAACGGACGCATGCTGCACGGTTCGCGTCGACTGCGACACCGTGTGACCTCGTCAATGGAATCAGCTGTTTAGTGAATTCCCAGGGAGCCCTTGCGCGCAAAACTAATGCCTCGACTTAGATTGACCACTCCGTCCAATGACAACAGCACACCGCGGTGTAAACAGGGTTCTACACTTAGCATGCTACTAACCCAACGCCTTCGACGCTCCTGGTAAGTACATACACTCGACATGCCGCTGCACAGCCCCGCTGACCAGCCCGGGGACGCTGTCGCGGCGTCTCGGGGCTCGGAGCCGCGTGCGCCGAGCCCGGGGCGGCGGCGCCGGTGACTCACCATGCCGTTGAGCTGGCTGCTGGTGACGCCAGGCCGCGGCCGGACCGGCACGGGCGCGATCAGCGGGATGTCAGGCGAGGCGCAGCGGGCCCGCTCCGGCGGCTCCAGCCAGTCGGTCCTCTATCAGCCGCAGCCCTGCAGCGCCGACAGCGCAGTGTCAGGTAACGGCGGTCACGGCCGCGCTGCGTCAGCAGGCCGGGCCAGCTGAGCCGGCGGCAAGACGAAGCGATGAAAACTAACGTGGATTTCTCCCAACTCCACCAATTCCAGCTTCGACCTCAACCGTACAAACACTCCGGATCGGACGAGAATAGCACCATTCCACCGCTACCTGACTGGACACGTGCTAGCGAGGACGAGGAGCGCGAGCAGCGGGAGCAGACGGCCGGCGCGGCGCGAGTCGGCGGTCGGACCCGGCTCGGGCGTACTCACAGCTGTCGGGCAGGAGGACAGGAGGCGCCAGGAGAGCGGGAGTGTCCGGATGCGGCTCCAGGCCCGCCGGCAATAGGAGAGGACAGCCCGTCGGCCCACGGCGGGCGCCGGCCGACGGCAGGACGGGGCGGGCCGCCGGCCACGGCTGCGGATTGGAACGGGGTGGCGGCAGCCGGCGCCGCAGTCGGCCACTTCCGCCGGTGGGCACAGCAACGGGTCCGTCTGGTACAGCACAGCCCCAGACTGGTTACGGCTCCGCGGCGGACTGGGTACGGCTCCGGGGCGGGACTGGTACACGGACAGGAGTCGGCTGACGCGGCTGCTTCAACTGCTGGTAAGGCGGCATCGACGCGAACTGACTGCGCTTGTGTGGGTGCCAGCTGGTAGGGAGGTGCTGACTGTGCCCCGGACTGGGGCACCAATCCTGACTGGTACGGCGGATGAGGTCCAGACTGGTAACAGCGCACGTGCGGTGTTTGTGGTACGGCAGCGCCGCTGACGGCTGCTGCGCCGGTACCAAGTGGTCGGCTGGTACGGCATCGCGGCTTGATACCGCAGCGGCACTGGCCTGCCGGTACTGAGCCGCCGGCGTCTGGGGACCGTGCTGCGCCAGTGGCCGCTCGGTAGCCCGCCGCGCTCCGTGCCGCTGCGGCAGCGGGCCTGCTGGGCGACCGAAGCTCTTGCTGCTGCAGCCGGCGCGCGCGGCGCCAGCTGCGGCAGCCAAGCCAGCAGCCGGTCCAGCGCCGCGTTCAGGCAACGGTTCCGGCAGCTGCCGGCTCAGCAGCTTGCCCGCGGATCGACAGCAGCCGCTGCAGCAGCGCCAGCTGCAGCTGCGAGGGTGTCTGTCCGCGCACCAGAGCCGTGCAGCGCCGCCAGCACACCGCCGGGTTCCACACCGGCCAGCAGCGGCGCCTGCTGCTTGCTGCGCCGACGGCTGCGGCGACAGCGGTGGCGGCGGCGCGCCCGGCGGCGCACGGTACTGGTGGCGCCACATCATCTGCAGGTCGAGCGGCCCGAGCGGCAGCCAGCGGCCGTCGACGTCCAGCTGCGGCCCGACGGCCGCTGCGGCGGCTGGCCGAACACGCCGCTCGCCTTGCACGAGCGGCAGCGACAGGGCCGGCGCGAGCGGCCGCCGCGCGCGCGGCCCCGTGCCGACCAGCGGGCCTCCTGGCGGGGCCGTCCGTGGCCGCTCGCCCAAGGCCGCACCGCTGGGTGCGTCACCATGGCCGGCCGGCTGCAGCCGCGCTGGCGGTCCAATGAACACACGCGTGAAGTTGCGGCTACCCTGACCGAGACGGGGCATGCGGCGGGCCCGGGCCCAGCATTTGCATACGGGGCCGGCCGTCCATCGGCCGCCGCAACTGCCGCGGAGGCGGAGGCGGCGGCGTGGGTGGGGGCGGGCGGAAGCGGAGGCGGCGAGGTGGCGGCGCCTCGGGCCGCGCCGGCGGGATGACACGGATACGGATGATGTTGGGCGGGGCGGCCGGTCCGGCTGCGACTGCTGGTGCACGATCAGCCGGCCGCCGACAATAGAGGCGGTGCCCAAGACGCGGCGGCCGGGGCGCGACTGGCCGAGTCGGTCATCGCCGCCGCCGCCACGGCCGGGCCGTTGACGATCAGCAGCGGCTCGGAGCCGGCCGACGTCGGCGCCTCCCTTGGGCTTCCCGCGCCGCTCGCCGCGGCAGCCAGCGGCGGCGCAGCGGGGACGTCCCAGTCGGCGGCCGCGCCGGCCGCTCGGCCGCGGCCGGGCAGGCGGCACTGCCGGCCGCCGGCGCCGGCTCGGCCTCGGCCGCGTCACTGGTGACCGGCGTCGCCGGCTGCGAGCCGGCCGCCGAGTGGCCGCGGCTGTGCTGCTCCAGAAACTCGATAAACTCGGGCGTCGGCCGGCTCGTGCTGGGCGTGTGTGCGGACAGCGCCGGTCGCCGGCTGGAGGGGCGAGTCGGCCACCTCCGGGGAGCTCGTCAGCCTCGGGCACCAGATCGATCAGACTCCAGGGCGCCACCGACGGACTCGAGTGCGCTGGGCTCGGCTGGCCCATCTCGGGCGCAGGTCAGGCTGCTCAGCTGGCTCCGACGGGTCGGCCAGTTCGGGCTGCCTGATCAGATTGGCCTGCCCAGTCGGTCTGGGCTGATCGGCCAGTTCGGACAGCTCGGCCAGTTCGGACTGCTGGCAGTTCGGACTGTTCGGCCAGTTCGGGCTGCCCGATCAGATATGTGTGCCCAGTCGCTCTGGGCTGCTCGGCCACTTCGGGCCGCGACGCCGCCGGCTCTGGGGTGGTCTCCACCTCCTGCAGGGCCGCTAGCTCCGGCTGTCCGCAGGCCGCCTCCGCCGCCAGCAGCACATAGGGTCGCTGGATCCTCGGCCGGCGCCGGCGCTGGCGCCGGCAGCGGCAGCGGCAGCGGCAGCGGCAGTGACGGCGCCGGCGGGGCCCGCACCGCCGCCACCGCCGGCTCGCAGTCCTGGAAGACGACGATGGGCGAGACGTTGCGCGCTGGTGGCGGCGGCTCGTCGCCGGAGTGCGAGCCGCGCCTGCCGCGCGGCCGGGCGTCGCTCCAGCAGCGGCAGGGCGGCCGCGCGCGCCGCCCGCCCTCCGGTTGGCAGTAGTTGTGTTCGAGCTGCGGGCGGCGGCCGGCAGAGGTGGCCGGCGCCCGGCGGCGGCGGCGACGGGTCTGAGTCGGAGCAGGACTCGTCCGAGGAGCAGGGCGTGATGGAGGAGGAGTAGCAGGCGCGCGGACACGACAGCCAGCGCGGCCGCGGCCGCCTGGCGCCCCATCACGCAGCCACCGGTCAGCCAAGGTCAGGTCAGGTCATATCCAGCACGGGAATCAATAGCAGGAGCCATGCGCAACGATGGGTCGCATGCTAGAAACCTCAGGCGGGGACATGGCGAGGTGCTTCTCACTGCAGGAATAATGACAGGAGTAAGGTGCTCGCAGGAATAATGCCAGTTAAGAACGTGACATTGGGAACCACAACGGGGACGAGGCGGCAATATCACACAGGGTTCTTTTACTCGCCACAAGATTACCGAAGACATTCACCACGGGGTGAGAAATGAAGGCGGGTAGCCGGAGAACACGCCCGATGGTCGCCGGGCAGAGCGGCCGAGGGGCAGAAGGTCGGGACGGGTCCAGCGTTCGGCCGTCGTTCCTACCGGGGTATCTGTAGCTGCAGTCGGGCACCACGGTCTCCGGCGAGGACGAGCTGATGACAGTGTCGGGCGAGTCGGCGTCGCGGGCCGGCGTGCTGCCGCCGCCCGAGAGGCCGTCCAGCCGGCCGCGGCGGCACGGAACTGCAAACGGGCCGGCCGCCGTCACTCGGGGCGGGCCACCTTACTGGTCAGGTCACTGTGCGGGCCAGCTGTGACGGTGGCCAGCTGATCACAGCTGACCATCATCAGCGGACCATCAGCTGACCAAGCTGGCCATCCGGACCAGCACAGGCGTGGACAAGCGTTTTCCAGGCCAGTGACTGTGAAGGATCGGGCGCGGCGGCACGGCACAGAGAAAGGCACGACACGAAAGTGTCTTAGGACATATTGCTAAAACTCGAATGTCAGATGCCACACCACACCACTGAATGCCACACCGCCACCAGACACATACGACTCATACGACCCTGCTGACTCATAAACCTGGCCGCCTACAACCTGCTGCGGCCACCGCGCAAGACCCAGCTGCAAGCGTCGCCCAACCGTCCGACTCACTGATGTCGTCCTTCCTGCCAAACTCCTGCTCGTAAAGCCGAGTATGGTGCGTCCCAGCGTGTGCGTGGTGGGCAGCGGCTGCCGGTCGCCGAACGGCCGCCGACTGTAGTAGTCCGGCGCCGCGGCGCGCCTCCAGCGTGTCACCGTCGCGCAGTCGGAGCTCGCCCAGGCGGGGCTCGTAGTCGGGCCGGCCCAGGTTGGCCGCCTGCGGCCCGGCGCCCGGCGGCGCCACCACGCCCAGGCTGGCCGGCACCGGCGGCTCCTGCACCGACAGCGTCGGCAGCGCCGCCAGCTGCGACATCAGTGTCTCCAGGAACGCGTCGTAGTCCTCCTCCAGCTTCGACCCCTGCGCGGTCGCAGGTCAGTCAGCGCGCGCGGGAGGCGGGAAGGGGAGAGGGAGGGGCTTTTCCGCAGGCTGCTCACGGACTAATGATTCACAGAGCGACGCACAGCCTCTGAACAGCCCGATAATAATGAGCGTTAAAAGTTTCCTGTCTACTTGTAAAATAGCACGAGATGTGAGCAACGGCAGCGTTCCGGCGTACCTTCCTGGGCCGCTTTTTGGACGTGCCGCCCTCCTTGCCCTGCGACTGGCGACGCTTCTGCTGGTACTGACGCCGTTTCTGCTTCTTCATCTCCTCAGCCTCCCGGGCCCTTTGCAGCACTGCAGGCAGACAGATGTCCTCAGAGCGCAGTACAAGCAGGTGTAGCAGACAACAAGAAGGCTATCTAAATCATCTTTCCTCCACCTGCAGGCCGCGCACACGCCTCAGTTCGGAAAACACGCAGCCCCAAGTTACTAGCCGCTGCCGAACACCCCCGGCAGCCGACCACCACCACCAGCGGACCAGGCGTCACTTACCGTCGGGCGGCAGCGTTGTGAGCTGGTGGGCGTTGTGGCAGAGCTGCAGGGCAGAGTGCCGGCGGCTGACGCGCCGACCTCAGCCCCGGGCGGAGTCTGCGGGGTGCCAGCGCCGTCGCGCACGGCGGCGGCGGGCGGCGGCCGGGCCCGCCACACCGGCCGCGCCCACCTGCGGCGACAGCGTCACCGGTGAGGAGGAGGCAGAGGACGCGGGTCGGGACCGGACCCGGGACGAAGGCTGGTGTCGACGCGGCGGCGGCGGCGGCGACGGAGGCCGAGGCGGCGGCGGCGGCGGCGGCAGAGGCGGCGGCGGCAGAGGCGGCGACAGGGACAAGCGGCCAGGGTGGCGGCCGGTGCGGCCGGAGCGGCGGCGGGAGCAGTGACCGGGATCTGGGGGTGAGGGGGAGCTGT